AGGTAAGCAGGCGGGCGGAGGGCGCGCCTCTCTGGAGCCATGCGAGCGCACACAAAAGGGGCCGGGGCAGCCCCTGGTCTCTGTGCGGTGGAGCTGACTCCTGGGGGCCCTGCAGCCCTGGGGGCGCTCGGCGCGGGCTGGAAAGGGGGCAGGAGAGAATGCGAGAACTACCCCACGGCCCTCGGGGGTTGCAACTTTGGCGAACTGGGCGAGTTTTCATGCAGTTGAGGTCTTTTTAGAAAGTTTGCAAACGATTCAGACTGTCCAGAATGCTCACAAAGTTTTCAGAAAGTGCCAAATCGTGCAAGTATTCAACCCGTGCAAATAGCTACGTCTGCAAGCTGTTCACAAAGTATGCACACAGCTTGCAAGCAGATCGTTTGACACAGCTTGGAGAATTTAGAGAAAGTGCATATAGCGTGCACACTGCAGAATTTTGTTATCCTGCCCTGTTACCCCCACCCCACCCCGTCTTGGGGGGGGCGTCTCTACTCAGGAGCCCCTCCACGTGTCTCTTGCAGGACTCGTGCCGTGCCCTCAGACTGGGGGCTCTGGCAGGATCAGCGTGCCCCAGGGCCCCCCTGCAGCCAGATCTAAGGGGGACTTCGAAGAAACTGTGCCTGGCCTCAGCGAGGGGACGGGGGCCCCAGCAGCATTGAGAGGCCCGGGTCCTGGAAAGTCTGTGCAGGAGCAGGGACCGGGTCCGTCTGGGGAGCAGGCGGCTGGGGGGGGTCCTGAGCACCACCGTGCCCGGCGCTGCACGTGCTTCACCTACAAGGACAAGGAGTGTGTCTACTACTGCCACCTGGACATCATCTGGATCAACACTCCGGAGTGAGTCAGCCTGGGCGGGGCGGGGCGGGGCCGGCCCATCTCCACTCCCCGGAGGACCTCCCCTGCCCTCAGCCCGCGCTGCCCTGGCCTGGAGCTCAGCGCCCGCTGAGGGCCGCAGACCAGGTCGTGTCTGCCTCAGGTCACAGGCCGGACGCACATCCTCTCCTAGGGTCTGGCCCAGGAGAAATTCAATCTCAGGTTTGTGAGGCGGTGGGAGGGGGCCCTTTCTCTGAGGGAGAGGAGCTGGCCTGGGGATTGGATACCTGAGAAGTCTGTCTGAGCCTCTCTTCTGAGACACAGGAAGCCCTGAAAGTTTATCGCCTGCCTCAGAGGCTAAGTGGGATGGTCCCTTTGGCTTCTGACCCTGCCAGGGTCCAAGGAGTTTAAAATTTCTTGAAAGCAGCCTGCTCCCTGGGGAGTGAAAGGTAAACTGGGCTCCTTTCCTCCCCTGGCCTCCCACGATGCCAAGGCAGAGTACACGCGCCACTGCCTTTCCCTGGGTCTTTCAGGGGCTGGCTGCAGTGGTCCACGGTCATGAGGGCCCCTGCCCCAGGCTTCACAACCCCTCTCCAGGGGCCTGGCAGCACACCTCCAGCGGACCTGTCCCAAGACCTGGGCGACCATTGGCCAGCTGCCTTGTGCTCAGTCTTCCGGAAGCCCCTGCTGCAGACAACGTAGAGTGCTTGACCTTGCTGCGGTCACCACCTCCGGGCTTGGCTCGCCCTTGAGCAGCTGGGACTTGGGCGAAGGGCCACTGAGGTCTGTTCCCTGGCTGTCCTTGGGGTATCTGAGGACTTCTGCTTGCACCCCGTGAGGAATTCCCGCCTGGGGACTCGGTGAATGCAAACTTTAGACCTGCAAAGCAGCTTCACCGCCGTGTTGTGAGGCGTCTCCACGACTGCCCCTCATGGTTTCCTTTGTCCCAAGTGCGTTGACCTCGGAACTCCCTGGGTAACAGCGTGGAGGGCGCTCATACACCCATCTGGGTACTCAGCAGTGAAGTACAAGGGAGAGTAATCCCGAGGGATCTGTGTATTCAAGAGCAGGTGACAAGACTTCCGACCACTGCTGGGCAGGCCTGGAAGTCGCGCTTCTACAGCAGAATGGCAGGTAGGGCCGCCGAGACACTGGAACGGGCCTGGTGCCCAGAAGGACCTCAGCTCCCTTTAATGCCCTGCCGTGGCTGTTGTACAATTCTTAATCCTTTTTGAACCAAGGCTTGCACATTTTCCTTTAATCTAGGATGTACCAGTTCTCTAGCCGATCCCGACAGCATGATTTGCTTGTCTGGGCTGAGCGTGATGAGGTCCCTGAAGATCTGTCGGCCCACAGTAGGGAGGAGGGAGGATAAGAGTGATGCGGTGGCTTTCTGTTCTCGGGCAGTGTCAGGTCACCTTGGTCACTGACACTTGTCGTTTCTGATTCTTATCGTCCTGGCATTGCGAGCCCACCAAACTAGTTTCACGGGCTTGAGGGCCCTAGGCAATCAACAGAAGGCTGAGTCCTACTCCTGCTTATAATCCCAAGCTGTGAATATAGAAGTCAGCTGAATGCGTGGCTAGGAGTAGGGTGGGACTTAGAGATCTCCCCAGTTTTCTGCCTGTCCTCCACGCCGCTGAGCACTGGCTGGGGTGGATCGACCACTTGAGACGTGTCCCAGAGGCTCTGCAAACTCCTTGTGGTACTTGAAATCCTGCTGAGAAGTTTGAACTATCTTGTGCGGCCTGAAACATAGCTGTGGATCTTTGACTTTTTCCAGAGCAGCCAACTTGATAAGTTTCTCTCAAAGTTTGGTTTATCTCTTCCTCTCACCTTCCACCCTGACTTGTTCTAAACATTGGGAAAGAAGGCGTCGATCTGGAGCTTGGGCATCCGTGAGCTACTTGGAAACAAAGGGGACAACAGCCAGACTTGAGTGCTTTGAAACTAGATAAATGAAATGCATGATATGCAGGGGATTTTGTTGGGTGGCCTTTCTCCCTCCCTGCTTTCTTCTGTCCTACTTCACCTCCTCTCTCTTTTCCTTCCTTCTTCCTCTGTTGCTGCTCCCCTCATCTCTTCGTTCCTTCTGGAAGCTGTTGATGTGTAGAGAAGTCTACTTACTACCTTTAAAATACCTCAGACAAGATTGCAGTTGGAGAAGAATGGGCCCCAGCACCTGACAGGGAATGCGGGGCTGGGGCACATGGAAGACGTCCTCTGTGGAGCTGCAGGTCACCGGATGTGTGTAAGGGGTCTTAGCCCACTTCTCTCTCGGCTCCCCTCCCTCATGTTACCTTCCCTGTCGCTTCGCTCCACCTCATTAGCAGACTTCCTGGGCTCCCTCTCAGAACCTTTCTACCGGGGTGTGGTCTGCACCCGGTCCATGGGTGGCTGCTTCAGAATCTAGAGGGACCTTGGTGCTTGTGCCTTCATCCGTCTCCTTTCACTGTGATGTTTTAGCACTTTGGCACCGTTTGTGCCTTGACTGCATGGAGACGGAGTCCACAGTCCTACTCCGTCTTTGGAAGATGCCTGTGTAGACCTTCGGGGAAGGCCCATTCTGTAGGTGTGACCATTACCTGCTGCAGGGGTAATGTGGAAAGCTCCTGTGGAGACTCCTGCATCTTCTCATGGAAATGTAACTGTCTAGGTTAGGCCATAAGTCACTCTATTAAGAACCTTTCAGACGGAAGATTGAAGGTCTTCTCCTAGGACCTGAGATCGGGCAGCCCTTCCTGCCAGCACTCAGCCTATAGTAGATGATCAGTTAATGCCGGTTGACTTTTGCTCAAGCCTTGCCTGGTTGTCCTTTCTCGTCTTCACTGTTGCTGTGGGCCAGTCTGCAACACTTTCCCCTACTGTGAGCTTCCTTCACCTGGAAGGTGTGGCTTTTCTCACTGAACTGCCATGGGAATGTATGTTTTTCTGGGGCACATTACCTGTAACTTCCACCATATTCTCCAAAAAGCCCATGGCCCCAAAGAGGAAGCAGATTTGTCCCTTGGCAATTACAGTTCGTGGCCTTGTAGAGGAGGCTGAAATGCCAGCTAATTGATGAGACGGTGTTGTTTTCCAGAAACTTTGCTCGGCCACATCAGGAGCCCCAAGTCCTCACATCTCCATGCAACCCCACTGCTGCCAACAAAACAAATCCCAGATCAGAGAAAAACATGTCCTATCTTAATGTTGTGAAAAATTTGTAAAGAATGAAATAGTAAGGAGAAGGACCGTGCAGAAGATGGCGGCATGTTTACATCCTTGCTTGGGGCGGACCTCTGAGTCTACGTAGAAACACAGGTGTCTAGTAGGGATTCGTTATTCTTTTAGTCAGGGGTTGCCAGAGAGACAGAACCAACAGGAAGTGTGTGTGGACCAGATGCTGGAAATTCTAGCAGGAGCTGGTGGCGCACAGCCTTGGGCCTGAAGGCAGAGTGGAGAAGCCATCCCTTCTCTGGGGGACCGCAGTCTGCTCGTGCGGCCCTCAGCTGATCATATGAGCCCCCTGCCCCTTATCAAGGGTTGGTCTGCTTCACTCAGATCTCTGATCAAAATATTAACAGCTTTGGGGCTGGAGATTAAGCTCAGTGGCGTTGCACCTGCAAGCACAAAGTCCTGAGTTCAATCCTGGTACAGCAAAAAAGATATATACATTAACAGCACTGAAAAAGACCTTCACAGAAATACCTAGACTGGTGTTGGACCAGACACCTGGGCACCATAATCGAGCCACAGTGATACCTAAAATGAAGCATCCCAGGGCATCAGTTCTAACCATACCCTCTGCAGCAGCCAGCCCCGCTGAGCCTGGCTCAGGAGTGAAGGCCAGTCTATCTGCTGGTGGCTGAGCTGCAGAGCGCCCAGCAAAACACCCTGCCACGTGCCCCCACCCCACAAGCTGAGGGAAGTTGCCATGGGTCAGTCCCTCCACGGACATACGAAGGAAGCACCACGGTACCGTCATGGTGGCCATGTTTTCCAAACAAAACTCTGAGCCACGTGGCTGATGAGGAACATACTCATGAGAAGAGCGGGGCGGGGTGTTGGAAATTGTGACTGTGGCAGGAAGTCTGGGATCTGTAACTCCCACTCGTGGGGGTTGGCAGGGAGAGTTTGGAGGGAACACTTACCTCCAGGACCTCTGGCCTGGAATCCTGGCTGTGACTCTGTGTGGCCTCGGGGTGCAGGTGCCATAAGCTTTCAGAATCAGTTCTGTAAGGTGCGGACCCCAGGCTTACTGCAGGGCAGTGGCCCAGGGTCTCCCTGAGCTTCTGTGTACTGGCCACCTTCTAAAGAACAGCCACCTCGGTTGCTGCAAAACGTGGCGTGCTTGCTCAGCCCCACAAGAATAACATCTGTTTTGCATTCTTTTTCTCTAGACAGCAGTGGAGTAAAATAATAATTAATAATAAAATTTGAACTTAATTTTAATATATTCTACCTCAGAAGGACATCACCACGATGTCTGGCTCCATCTTCTGAGTTCTTCAAGAAAGGTGCATTTTAGCATGTTTCCAAGAAGACAATTTCTAAACCTCAGAGCGCCCTGGTGGAGCACGGAGATCTGGAAACCCAGACCTCTGCATGCTGGAACCAGCTGTGCTACGTCATGAGATTTTTGGGACCCTGATTAAAGCCACTCTGCCCTACATGCCAGGCCTGGCAGTTTGGTGCTGCAGATGTGGCCCTTTGAATTAGAGGGTCCGAGTCCTTGTGGACATCCTGGTTTTTGGAAAGTGTCACTTTCCTGCTAAGACCAGCAGTGCAGATGATGAACACGTGTCATCTCATGTCATCTGTGTGTGGGCCCCAGCCTGGCGTCCTCTCAGAGTCTCTAGAGGCCAGGTCATGCTCAGGGTTACAAAGCCCTGGCCTGGAAGCTTGACTCTGGCATCTGCCCTCTTGTGCGTTGTTTCCCAGCATGGCCTCACTGCTGCTGTCAAGTTGCTGCTTACATCCTGGCATTCAGCACTTTTTTGTGGACTTCCTCATCTAAGTGACACAGGCCTGGGCTCTGCGAGCAAGATGGGTGAAAGACATCATCCCCCTGATCCTTGACCGTTGCAGGGTAGTTTAGTTCTTTGCCGTAGTGATGACCCTTATATGTGATTTTATATAATAACATACACCTTTGCAGTACTATTTTTATAGACATGGATGAAGATAGGAGCAAAAGTCCAAGTCTTTGGTGGATCATATGTCCTAAATTTTATTCTGGAAATACAGTATTGCCTTGCAGAGAGGTGCATGACTCCCTGATAGCCTTCGAGTGCCTTGCTGAGCCCTCCCAGTGCACTGGGATGGAGGGGGTGTCCTTCTGAGTGGGGGATGGGGGCTTGTAGGCTGCTAGGTCCATTATTGGAGCAGGATTTAGCTTTTTGTGGCTGTCACTTGTTGCCTTGACCTGCTTTCTTGCTCCCTGGTGCCGTCACCAAGCCTGGGCAGGGGCAGGAGATGGTTCTGCTCCAATCTGCCCTGTCTTGTAGATATAGCTTCGTACTGATGCTCACACTTTGGTGTGTAGACACATTCAAGGTCTTGAAGACATCACAATCCAGGGCTACCTCCTGCCCTGCAGAAATCCCTCCTGGCCAGAGCTTGTCCCCCCATCTTACCCCATTCTGTGCTTGCAGGGTGCCAGTGAGGAGAACACTCTTTCTCAGCAGTTGCTGAAGTGGACATCCTAGGAACAGCTGGTGCTGGTCTTTCTCATCCCCCGGAAGTGCTCCCGAGCAAGCCTGCACCCTGGGCCGCAACCTCCCACACTTGATGGGGCTGGCTACACAGTCCGTATTCGAAGCCCATTAGCCTGGGGTTTACAGACCCTGGGAAAAGGTGTGCCTGGCTGCCCTGTCACTGATAAGCTGCTTGATAAAGGCACCTGTGGCCAAAGTCTGCTCCGGTGGGGTGGCATGCAGCCTCCAGCATCTGCCCTGACTCTGTGATGACTTTTACTGCTTTTTTTTTAGCCCAGGTAAACAATTGGAATGTTTGAGGAAAAGGGCATGGTGTTCCCTAGGTCACCGGCCTGGGCTCCTGCAGAATGGCAGGTGGGGATGGTGACAGGAACTGGAAGATGTCCCTTCAGGACAATAAGGATGATCACTGGGAGCCTCTTAACCCTGCGGGGAAGTCTCTGGAAGGGTCCTCTGATTTCTTACATGGAGAGAGCGTAGCAGAGTGAATATAATGCTGTAATTGGGAGCCCAAGACCCCCCGAGGGACCAGGATCCTCACTTCCCAACTCTTTCAGAATTTCTCCCAACAGTAAGTGGGTGCCAGACACTAAAAGTCACTGGGAAGTGACCCTGGGAAATGTGGTGGGCCATGACCTGTGAGGAGTTGTTCCCTGGTGTGCTTTGGAGAAGGACATGTGAGAGACGGTGGTGTCGGTCTGAGGCCAGGTAATCCAGAGCTCGGTTCTGACTGAGTGTGACTTACTTGAGAGTTTTTTGTCTCACACCATCAGTCTATCACCTCCTCGGAAATCCAGCACAGTTCAAGGCCTCTGTTTTGAGTTCAAGTAGCATAATTTTTAGAATAGTTGATGGCAAGATGATTTGAAATGTGAGGGCCTTTGGGCAACATTTCAGAGCCGTTGGAAAGGTCAGTCCACAAAAGGTGACCTTTCTGGTCAGTTCCCATGGATGGAAGGCCCCAGAGTCTCCCCAGAGAGGTGAGATGTCCCGGAGCAGAGATGGCCTTGGCCGGACTGCAGCATGCCCTGTGTGGGGCCAGGAGGCAGTTTGATTTGAAGCAAGAAAACTCGGTACAAAGAGGTTGTGACCCTGTGTGACCCCGAGGGAACGCTTGGATTTCTGCTACATGAAAGGGATGTTGCAGCTAGGAACTTGGCCTTAAATCTGAAGGCAGATGAAAGTCCCTGACATGTCTCATGTGGTTTATTCCTGCAAGAATTTAAAACAAAGGAAGCTGGGAGCAAACGATGCTTTCCCTCAGGAGGACCAGCGGTGGTGACTGAAACCGGCCAGACTTCAGAATTCCAGCTGTCCCTTCCCACTGGGCCGCTGTATCTCAGCCAGTCTAGTGGGGAGCTGGAGAGGGCTTCGTGCTTGAGGTGACCCTGTTTGACAGCCACCCAGCTTGCAGCATACAGGACACGGAGCAGCTCTGTGTCCTATGAGGAAACAACCTGCACATGTCACGTTCCAGTGGGAAACAGACTTCGTGACACTGAGAAACGTGTGCATGGGGACACAGGTGTACGGACACCCATGCACAAGTATGGTTATGCACGTGTGTGCACACACAGAGACACTTTGATGGGAAGTAGTTGCACTCAGGAGGAAGGTGAGCCCAGAGTAAGGCTGAGGGTGGTGGGCAATGCCATGAGACGGATTGCTTGTCCCGGCACAGCTTTGGGCTGCTCTGAAGATAACTCCGGGCCCCCTCACAAGTCTCCCAAGAACAAATGGGACATCTGGTTGCATCCTCCTGTACCCCAGCTTGGAGTTTTAGAGCCCAGAGCTTTCGTACTTGGTGACTTTTAAGGGTAGGAGGCACAAGCTTGGTTTCTTTTCAGACAGACTGAGCAGGAATTTCTAGTAAATAGTAACTCTGAAATGTAGCAGCCTGAACCTTTGAGCTTCAGCCCAGTGAGGTAAAAAACAAAACCAGATTTGTTCCATGAGGCTGTAAGAAAGCACCAAGACAGAGGTGGTTCATGGCACAGATGGCCTGGGGTGGACAGCTTCACCCCACAGCCCGGGAGTGTGAAAAAAATTCCTTTGCCGGGAGTCAGAAGCAAGTGACTGAAAAATAGAGCTGGGAATCTTCTGGATTTTTACAAATCTGATTTTTGCAGCTTTCTCATAGGACTGAGTTCCTCCCTTAGCCACAAACTTTCAGGAGTGACCAAAGCCTCAGCAGGAAAAATAAGACACTGTAATGCAGTATTTCCAGAAAATGAAAATGAGAACAAAAATTACAGTTGACAAATATCAACACTGGTGGTAAGGGAGGCGCTGAGGCAGAGATGGCCTGCCCTGCCTCACCCTTGGCTGGCCCTGGCTTCTTATTTGAGGATGAAGACTGCGTCTCTACCAGGAACCCAAGTGCTCTTAGCCTGAAGTTAGTTGATTAGAGCTGCCTTCACAGGATCGGACAGGACATAGGCAGACCAGAAAAGTGTGCATGTCTCATTGTCCTTGTGATGACAGCAGCGGGTCTGGTCACTAAGACTGTTTCTGCCCCTAACATAGAATCTTAGAAAACTTAGCCCTGTTGGATTTCTTTTCTTTTTTTTTTAACTGGGGAATTGGTGGTGTCCACGTTTTTAACCCCTCTGTAGATACCCCACCTTTACAAGAATACCTGCTCCCTGTTGTACCCCTTCTGTTTCCACTGCTGGTAGTTATTTTGAGCTCCATCTGTCTGCAGCTCTGCATAAAGTTATAATGAGACTGGGCCGGCAGACGTGAATGCTCATGCCTGCATTTGAACTGGAATTTGTCGGGGTCACGGTCATGGGGGCGGGGGTGGGGGCTGGGGAGGAAGCTAGCACCTGGCCCACTGGATGCATTTGGGTTGCACAGACGGTGGGGAAGCCCTCTCAGCTGTAGGATTCTTTAGATAGTTTCATTCTCCACTTACTGAATGCATTTGTTTTCCAACTTCTCTTTTTGTTTGTTTTGAGCTGTAACTTTTGAAAGTCTTGGAGCACACAGCAAAACCAGACATTTTACCTCCTGTCCTTCTTCCCTTTGGACCCTGGCATGCCAGGAAGACTCTCATGGATGCGCCTGTGCTCGGGAGGACAGCACTGTGTTCCAGGGAGCCAGGCGATGACTGATGCATTTTGTGGCTTTGGGAGTTACTTTAAAGCCCAGCCACATGGTAATCAGCCTTGGAAGATTAGAAGCAGTTTGGGCTAAGAGCTTTCTAAATGCAGTTGGTGAGATCCTTGAAACTTCCTAGATTGGGTGGGGCAGAGGATCCCATACTGACTATGGTTTTCTTGCTGGAGCAGAGGCCTAGGGCTTTCTACAGTAATTGAGCTACTTGGCTCAATTACTCAAGTGAGGTGAGGATGCTGGGGATTTTCAGGTGGAATTTGGAGCCGGGAAGACCTTTGGAGGAACTGGCCGGCCCTGGCCAGCTTGCCCAACAAAGCCTCTCAGAAAGTAAATCCTCGGTTTGTCCTAGGGCTGCGGGCCGCCTTTGGCTTGGCCCTGTAGCTCACTGTCTGCACAGCCTGGTCCACTTGTCATGGCGCGGATGGGTACTATGTTCCTATTGCACATAGTTTCTCCACTTCACGCCATCCAGAGATCATGCTCCTTCTGGGAAAACCCTCTAAGATGAGCCAGTTAAGGATGAAAAGATTAGAAATCCATTCCGTCGCCAAGAATTTCATACATTTGGGAGATTGGGTACCGCCTAAGAGTAATGGCAAGTTTAGACCAACTTCCTTCCTCCCTCCCTTCCCCTCCTTCTTTTCCTCTTCCTTCGTTCCCTCCTTTCTTTGCTTCCTTTCTTAAACAGGTGCTTACTCTTGAGATCGTGGATATTACTGAGCACCCGCTATGATGAGCCAGACACCTGGATGCAGAGGTGAGCAAGGCAGACACAGTGCTCTAGTGAGTCAGAGTCCTGCTGCTGCTGACCCAAGGGAGTCCGCCAAGGCCAGGTTTCATGGATGTCACACCTGCAGTATAAATACAGAAGGAGAAATGGCCCTCAGCCTTGTGCCCGAGGCTAGGGGTCAACACTCTGTAGCCCATTAAAATTTCTCAATGGCCATTCCTAGAAATCCCAAAGTGTGTGCACGTGTGTATGTGTACATGCACGTGCATGCAATCGCATGTGCTTGTGTGTGCGAAGAATACCTTTAAAAAAGTGAACACACCCCACAGCACATC